ATATTTTCTTGAGAAGCAAAAAAAAGTTCTTCTGGGACCTAATAAAGGAAGATAGTTTCTACTAGGTGAAGTTTTATTATGTTTTGTTACTGAGATACCCTTGGAAAAACATGGACGTTGATGATTCTTAATCAGAAAGTGATTCAAGTGAGTTGGACTCTAAATGTGAAGAGCTTTTTAAGAATCACTTAACCAATTCATTTTGCTATGTTTTCCTTTTAATGTAGGTCCAAAAGTGCTAAGTGCTTTTTAAAATTTGTCATTCTACATAAGAAAGTAATGAGTCATAGTTTACTTGGTAGCTTTGCCTTGTTGTTAGTACATAAAATCAAGAGTAATGCCTGGCCAGAGTGGCTCAGTTGGTTGATCTTTGTCTTGTGCACTGAAAGGTTGTCTGTTCAATTCCTGGTCAGGGTACATAACTGGGTGTCGAGTTTGACCCCAGTCAGGGAGCATATAGAAGGCAACCAATTGATGTTTCGCTCTCACATCAGTGTTTCTCTTCTCTTCTCTTTTCTTCTCTCTCTCTTGCTCTCTCTGAGCATATCCTCAGGTGTGAATTAAAAAAAAAAAAAGTAAATAAGAAAGTGATAATCAACCCTATTGAACTCAGCAAGTAGACAGGTGACAGAAGAGTGTGCTTAGAGTGAGGGACCCATGTGTAGAGAGGATGCAGGTCTAGCACCCCACAGTCATCACGGAGTCTCGACCATCCAAGGTTTGCCAGGTATCCATCAGAACTGTGGCAGAAACAGGAAACCATTCTTTGGGCAGTAAGAGAATGGGTCCAGAGGTGCCAGCCATGCCAGGGGCTCAAAGAGAACCCATTTGAATATGATAACAGTCACTTACTGAGCCTACCATGTGCTGCTCCAGTGTTAGGCACTTTATAGATTATCTCTAATCCCTGCAACAATCCCGAAGGATTTCACGGGGGCAAGTACTGCCATTCTAGTAAACACTTTGCCAAGATATAACAAAAATGTAACAAACAGTTCTGCCCTTTGACTTAGTAATTCCATGTTTGGGAATTTGTGCTCAGGAAATTGTTTATTTTCATTAAATGTAACTTAGAGTGAAAAGATGGAAGTGACTTATGTCTAATTCTAGGAATAGATTCAGTAAATTATGGTACACCCATACTTTGTAGACTATTACACAGTTTTTAAAATAATGCCCGGCTGGTGTGGCTCAGTGGTTGAGCATCAACCCATGCACCAGAAGGTCATCAGTTCGATTCCCAGTCAGAGCACATGCTCAGGTTGTGGACCCAATCTCCCCAGTGGGAGGCATGCAGGAAGCGGCCAGTATTCTATTGATGTTTTTGTCTCTCTCCCTCTTCCTTCCTGTGTCTCTAAAATCAATTTTTTTTTTTTTTTTATCCTCACCCGAGGACATTTTTCCATTTTTTGTACAGATAGAGTGGGATGAGAGAGAGGAAGGGAGAGAGAGAGAAAAACATCGACGTGAAGGGACACATCGAGTGGCTGCCACCCGCACAACCAACCAGGGCCGGGGACAAACTGCAACCGAAGTACGTGCCCTTAGCGGGAACCGAACTCGGGTCTCTCTGGACCGCAGGCCGACGCTCCAACCGCTGAGCCAAACCGGCCAGGGCTCAATTTTTTTTTTAAAGTATAAAATAATAATCACAATACTATAGTAAAATATGAGAAATGTTAATGTAGCCAAGGAGAAGACATAAAATATATGCACTCTATAATTTCAAAGATACAAAAATGTTTAAGTGGGCTAATATTGGGGGAGAATAATACAAAAATAAAAGTAGTTGTGTTAAGATGACATTATCGCCCTGGCCGGTTTAGCTCAGCGGTTAGAGCATCAGCCTGCGGTCCAGAGAGACCCAGGTTCAGTTCCCGCTAAGGGCATGTACCTCGGTTGCAGTTTGTCCCTGGCCCTGGTTGGTCATGCGGGTGGCAGCCACTCGATGTGTCCCTTTCACATCGATGTTTCTCTCTCTCTCTCCCTCCCACTCTATCTGAACAAAAAATGAAAAAATGTCCTCGGGTGTGGATAAAAACAAACAAACAAACAAAGATGACATTATCATGGGTGAGTTATATTTTTTCCCCAGAAAAATTTCTTTTTCCAATCAAAAGCCATAAAAGAACAGGTTTCCAAAGAAAACGAACCAGTAGCAGCAAGGACTCTTGAGAATAGAAATTGTTTTCAGAACACACCTAGAATTACCCGGTTACATATTTGCTACATTTAGATGTTAAGGAGATTCTAGGTTTCTTTTCCCTTCTTCCCACTTGGAATTTGTAATTAGAATACATGCAGAGCAAAAATGCAGTAGATTCAGGGAAGTATTTGAGGCTTTGTAAGCAAATGACAACATGTAAAAAGTATTTGTCTAAATTTGCATTCATATAAAACATGGAGCTGCTGTGATTTCAGAATAAATGTGTTTTAAATATTTTCTAAATACAGAGCTATTGCCGCCCTAACAATACTTGGGTAAGAAACTATATTTCTATGATAGACCATTGTTACTCTTTGGAAAATTATTGGGCTTTAAAAAAAGGCCCACGTCACAACACTGAAGAGTGAGTCCCACTTTGTCCCTTCTTACATCTGCAGTCGTTTCTGTAAGGCTCCACTTCCTCTCTCTCAGGGTATCATTGATTTTTATGGCAGGACAAAAGGGCATGGCATTAAAACTGACATATTTAAAATTCTAGAAAATATATATATATTTTTTCAGATAAGAGCCAGTTTCTGTTGAATTATACAGAGGCTTTTGCTGTAGGTGTTTATTTTCACCTCTTTCTCACAATTGTTGGAATATCTTTTTCTGTGCATTAATTCATTGATTAGAATTTCAGTTCTGAAATGCCAGTTAAAACTCAGGGTCATTGGTCAATTGTCTTACTGAATGTAGGAGCTGGGAAAGTTGATAAGATTTGGTTAAACATTATGGATTTGAGTTTTTCTCCCTTCTATTTCGTGGCCATTTTTCTGGAATTCTGCGCTCTTCCTGCTTCCTTTCATTACATCAGGCAAGGTTCCACTAGATGAGACATTTGTAGTCCTAAGACTTCCTGCCAGGGTTCAGACTTTGTATTTTTGACATTGAAGCTGTCGTTTTCCTGAAGCTACTTAATTAGAAACACATTCATTTCAGTGTATACTGGAAAAAACTTGGACAGCAGAGCCAGGCACACTGGGAAGTTTGAGCATTTGTGTAGCTGGCAGCTAAACTAATGGTTTACAGTTTGAGGGGAAAAAATATCGTAGGGCATTTCCTTGCCCCTAGAAGCGAAGAGAAGCTGAATGTGCACAGCAGATACCTATTTTTAAAAGAGAGAAGAAGAAGAAGAAAGAAAAAAGACAACTCCACTTTCACTACAGTTGCGTATATAATTCTTTCTTTGGCTATTGTCAAATACAAAAGTCTTCTAGAAGAATAGTTCCCAAACTGTGCTGCTAATATCCAAGTCTGTTTTACCGGCGCCCAAGATGTATCACTGCTGAGATCTTAGTAAGGAGGACACTTTATATTCCGAGGAATGATTTTTGCTTAAAGAATTTTATTTGTCAAATGGTAATGAGGGAATTGTGTCCTTTCTTATTTTTAAATGTTTGAGCAATTTTCAAATGCACAGCTGATGTTTTAAAACCTTCATTGCCTATCCACTGCTTTCAGGATAAAAGCCTAAACTCTTTAGTATTAAATTGTAAGCAAACCTCTTTTTTCTCATTTCTTACCGCTCCTTGTTTCCCCAGTCCTGTCTCCAAGACAGCATCCTGTAGGTTTGCTCCCACTCCCCCAGCTGCCCCAGAGGAAAGGTTCCTGGTCACCTCGGTCTGAGCCAGGTATCTTTCCTCTCGGCTTGTAAAAGACCCCTTTGCACCTTTCACAGGGTGTATCACATACTGGAGAGACCTACAGAACAGTTGCCAATCGCTCCCTTCCTCCTACTCCTTGACCTCCACCCCCTAGCCCCAAGAAAAAGGTCGGGTAGGAGGTGACCCTCGGGATTTTAGGTTTGGTATTACAAAGTCAGTATGGCACAGAGGAAGAAACTTTGAAGTCAGATTCTAGGTTTGCCATTTACTTTGTTTGGTGGCATTAGATAAGTGATTTAAGCTCTCTGGGCCTGTCTCCTCCTCTATAAATGGGGATAATACGTACCTTGTATGATTGTTGTATGGATTAGAAAGATGAATTTGAACTTCCTCATACAATGCCATTTACACTTATCATTGGTAAGTAACTCATACAGATAATGAGTGCATGTGCGCATACACACAGGTGCCCAGAGTCCTGGACCCTAAGAAAGTCACTCCATAGTGCCCTGGCTTTCAAACTTTGGGAGTTGAGTTCTCTTGTCCTGCTCAGTCTCCATCTTAGGAACTCAGTGCCCTGTGGATGAAGCAGTTGGAAGGGGCTTTGTGAATTTTCGTGCCATCGATGGCATGTGCGAGTTGGGGAGAAGATGCTTTCTGGTAGCTCTCCGCATGCCTTCTCAAAGCAGAGTGGACAGTTAGATCACATCTCTTGGTGACAGAAGGAAACAGCGAATAAAAAATCATTCTCCATTCAACCTTATTAACTGCTTTTCCTGTTGAAGTTGTGGCCATAGTAGTTCCGATTTGTACCAGGAACTGTACAAATCACTTGACGTGTATTTTCTCTCATTCTGATAGCAACCTACCAGTTTGCTTCCAAGATCCCATTTTAGAGATAAGACAAGTGAGGCTGTGCAGTCGCCTAGCTGCTATCTGAGATTAGCACCAGAGTCGGCCTGCTTTCCGCCACCCGTGCTGCTTCCAGTGCGGCCCGCATTTTGAAATTCTTCTGAAGTTTCTAGGCTTGGGAACACAATGTCATATTAGGGTTTTTGTTGTGAAAGGAAATGTAACTGTGCATACGTTTATTAAAACAGTTTTTCTCCAAATAGTGAACCATCTGTAATTTTCTGTCGGAAGCAACAGACATTAAAGCAGCTGTGTGTCTCTGTTTCTCTTCACAGTGCTCCCATGCCCTACCTCATAGGAATCCATTTAAGTTTAATGGAGGTAAGTAGGCGCCTTTCCTCCCCACATCTCCCTACTTGCCGTTTTGTTTTGCTACGTGGCAGTGGAAAAGACAGTGGTGTGTAGAGTCACAGCTCTCCACATGGGAGCGTGTCGAAGCAGCACAGTCTCCCTCCAGGTGCACAGAGCTGAGCACGCCACTTAGACCCTCTCCACTGGGCTCTTGTTTCCAGTGTGTTTCCTCTTTGTATGAAGATTGTCCGTTTTCATGGGCTAGGGAGTGAAGTTTAAAGAGGCAGGAGGAAAAGGGTCCTCAAGGGTCTGAACAAGGGAAGGAAAAGATTTGCTTTTCAAAATTATGTTTTTTTTCTAAACCACTACAACATTACATTTTTTATTGTACAAAATGCGGTGTAAAAAGTATATAGAAGTATAAAGAGGAAAATTAAAATTATCTACAATACCATTATTCTAAATTCAGCCAGTTAGCATTTTACTATTCTTCCTCCTAGTCTTTATTTTATGAGTATATATTTTGTATAAATGTATGTAACTGATGTGTTTTATATATAATTTTATGTTTTTATATGTCATTTAATATTACAGCATGGGGATTTCTACACATTTTTATGTGCTCTCAGTAAGAATAATTTTTAGTTTGCTACTTGTCATTCCACTGTTTGGATATATCACAACTTAACCATTTTCTTATTATTGTAGAACACGTAGGTTTTTTATCATTTTTCACTGATATAAGTAGCATTTCAGTAAACATCTTCACGCATAAGCTTTTATCTGCATTTTGATTTAGTCCTTAGCATAGAACCCCTAATGTAGAAATGCTTGGTAAAGCTACGACTCTGGTGACAGATTGCTTTCTGCATGGCTGTACCAATTAGATAGCAGTTCTCTTAAAGGACTGATCTATGCTTTTGTGAGTGCCATTGGTCTGTAGATATGAACCCTAAGCTTTTCCCTCCTCAGGAGAGAGCTTAAATTTTGCACTGGAGCAAAATGGGGTGGGAGGTGGAGGACTTGCCTATTTTGCACAGGAGATAAGCTCTCCGAGGGAAAATCTAAAGCCATATCCGTCTGCGATGATGCTTTGCATGTCTTAAAGGAAGTGCTACTTCTCTTCTTCTGTTCCCTTCATTTCACGTCGACGAGGACCACCTGCTTCTTCGCTAACTGTTGCACACTGTGCTATTGTGCTTACGAAAATGAAACAAGTTGGTTATCGAAAAACCTGTTTGTTTGACATTGAGAATCTTGATCAAAATAGACCACAGAAATCTGCTCAAATTTCTAATTTGACAGGACGGCCATGTGGCTCCTACATTCTGTTAACAGTTCCTCCTTGTCATCACCCAGCCCTGAGCACATGCAGTACACAGTTTATGGACTATCTTGGATGGTGTATTTAGATCAGATTGAAGAGATTTCTTGGGTGTTTTACCTTTGTTTGTCAAGTTTGGGGGTGTATTCAAAGCTCCTGTGTGAAAATTTTAAATTGAACACTTTCTAATAGGCCTTTAGTGCCAATTGTTACAGAGTTTGAAACACTAATCTAAATACCATTTGGTCTCTTGGAGTCTGCAGCTCCTTTCTGCCTCTCCTCCTGCCCACCAGACTGTTCTGGCAAGGTCTTTTCAGATTCCTTTTCATGTCCCTTTACCTTCAGCATGGTCCAGGTTTCTAGTCTTGACCTGTTTTTCTGCTCTACATGCCCTCTAGTCATCATGTTTAAGGCTTTTTGTTTCAGCTACCAAGGTAATGTCGGTCACTCTCAGCTGTGATTCTAACAGTAGCTCGTCTCTCTCTGAGCATAGGTCCAAGTATTTCAAATGCCAGTTGAACTTCACCTAAGTTTACTACAGACATCTCTAACTCAGTGTCGCGCGCGCACACACACACACACACACACACACACACTCCCTTCTGGTGTTCCGGGCCCTGCGAATGGCGCCGCTGCCTGCAGAGTGCCAGGGCGGGACACACTGAGCACGGGCGAGTGCTCCTCCTCCTCGCTCTTTCTAAAGAGTCACCACGTCTCTGACATGTCTCTCGCCCTGTTTCTTCCTTACTGCCTTCATTGACATTTTTTTTTTTTTTTTTGCTTTTCTTGGATTCTTGCAAAGCCTTATTCATTCATCTGCTAAGCAAAATGAAGGCCTCTTATGTTCCAGACATTTTGCTCAGTCCTGAAGGTAGAAAGGTAAATATAAAATTCAGTTCACAGTCCTGGCATTTAGTGGGTTGACTTCTACTAGCTCACTCTACTTTTGTAGCCCGCCTTCCAGTCTCGCTCTGCACCACCCCCGAGTTCTGCCCAGTCTCTACGCTGCTGTCAAGCCTCTCTGTCCTCTTGCTGTCCCGTGTTAGCCAGTGTGCTCACTGATCCCTAACCATCCCCACATGCCCAGCCCCTGCATGGCTAAGCCCTGCCCTTCTCCAGCTCTTCCAAGAAGTCCTCTCATTTTGTCATTGTCTTTCATTTCCTGTCCCTTTTGCTCTGAGTGGTAGCTGTTTGCTTCCCCTTCATCATCCCTTGGAGCATGAGTTCTTCGAGAACAGGACTGCGCTTCATTTACTGTGGTGTCCTCAGCACCTGGCGGGGCACCAAGCAGGTGCTTTCGGAAAAGAAGGACTAAGTGAGTGCTTGGGAGGCTGAATTCGGAGCGCATTTAGAACCCTCCAGCAGGCATCACTATTTTTAGAGAACCCAGCACCGTAATTTTACTTAAAGATGGACAGAGTAAATTGTTTTACTTTTATATGATTGTAAGTAATTTAAAGCAAGGCCTTTTGTTAGTAAAACATGCGGTGCAAAATATGCATACATTTTTATGCTAAAACTTGAGACAGAGTTTTGCACTTAGGTGAGGGGGTTCATGGCTGCTCTGCTCAGCCTTTGAAAAGCTGTCAGTGAAAAGACTTGGGAAACACTGACCAGGATAAATCTTAGCCCCATCAATTAGCTAGAGTAGAGAGGAGTTTGCCATGCTGAACTCCTGTGTGGTCAGCACTAAAAGAAAAAGAAAGTAGTAGTCGCCGCACACTTGAAGCCAGCAAAGACACTTTCTAGCCAGGTAGCATTTCCCAGGTGTGTTGGGCAGCCATGAACCACCAGTCTTGGACTTGTCTTCTCATCTCCTCTGTGGATTTAACTCAGACTCGGAGCAGTCTAGCCGTGCTTTTTTATTGGGTTTACGTGGTTCTATTATACCCTTCAGATGAGAGGGGTGCTTCCCATGAGATTTCTTCCAGGAACCATGGGCTGTACTACTAGGGGAGAAGCTCATACCTGGGGCCAAGAGAGAGCTCTTGAAGGAAGCAGCTCAGGAAGGCCCATCTCCTCCCGTATACTGGTTTTCTTACTGGCAATTCAGCAAAAGGCTTATTTTTGACTGTCTTGTTATTTTTTCTTGAAAGCTATAGGCACCTTATTATGCCTTTGCATATGTGCCAGAATTTTTTAAACTTCAAATGAATGTGGCAGATGTTCATAAAAGTTTAGAAAAAGCTACCATAGGAAGACTTTTTAACCATTTTTATGACACTCAAATTTGATGCACGAAAAGAAATACAAGTTACAACCTAGTGTGCTCATTTGAAAAAAGGTTATTTTAGGGAAAGACCTAATTCTAGTCTTCATGCTCTTACAGGATGCCCTTGCTGTTTGGTAGATGGTAGCCTGGTCGCCTTAAAGAGTCCACCTTCCTTCTAAAATGACACGGGTATAGCTCATCATCATTCTTAGCCCTCCTGGCTTTTTATCTCATTCTCTCATTTAAGCAAACATTAATTTGAGTCTAGTGGTAAGTTAGCAGGATAGCCAAGGGTATTGGCATAGACCTAGTTTCTTGGAGAGAATGATCATGTTAGCTGGCAGCTAGGAAATAACAAAATGTGGCCAGATTACACAGTGACTGTTGCCTTTTCTTCTCTCAGCCTCAGTTTAGTTCAGGAGATGTTTCTGTAGCCCCTGCTCTGTGCCATGTCTAATAACTGGTGCTTCTCCTTTTTGATAAATGAAAACCTTCATTTCTAAGCCTCACAAACTGCTTGGTGTGTAGTCCTCAGAGTGACATCAGGGTATTTTATATCATTCCTGGTGGCATAGTAGTCAAGAAGGAGGAGGGAAAGGTGGTAGCAGTAACAGTTTCAAACAGAGGCTCAGCTTTGCCTAAAAATTAAGCTCCACCTAGACACCAGGGGGCGGTGGAGGGGAGTGTTCACTGGAGGACTTGGAATTCTGGCTCTGCTACTTCCTGCTGGTGTCACCTTAGGCAAAGTAATTGACCTCTGAGCTGCTTTCTCTCCTGTAAAATGAGGGCAAAGGCTCTACCTCCCCTATAGGATTGTTGGAGGATCCAGTGAGAGAATGGTTATAGGGTGCCTGGCACCTAAAGAATTCAACAAAGACCAACAACCGTTGCTGTTTTTATTTTGTCAGTGGCCTTAAAGCCATTTTCATTGTTAAGTTGATGACTTTAAAATTGTGTTTCAGGGACGTTTAGGTTCCAAGGATCATTGTCATCACTCATTTCCTAGGGAAAGAGAGTTTCAACAAAATTGTTTTGTGCCCGCCCTATTTTCTCCTGGTTTGCAGTGCTGGGGGGCATTGTACCAGGGATGGGAAAGTCTCTAGGTTAAAGCACCATTATCTCACTTTTGTAAAATTGTATAAATGCACTAACAGTCCCCTGCTTGACCACTACCCTGTGGTAGTAACTTAAGGCATGATGCTTTGTTGCTCTGTATCTTCATTTCTTCATCTGTAATAGCGGTCCGTACCCATCTCTTAGGGTTGTGGTAAGGATTACATAGTGAGTCCCATGTATGTCCAGCATATCCTAGTGTCTGCCTGCAGTAGATACGCAGCAAACATCTCCTTCTGCAATAATATTTTGAAAGCCTCTGTGTGCGAGCCACACCCTCGTACTAGGAGTCTGTATAGAATATTGAATGAACATAGTCCTGCCTTCACAAGCTTTGTCTAGAGTAGATATAGACAAGGAGAAAGAATTGTAGTGAATTTT